AGGCCTTTGTGGTTCGATTCCACCAGTCTTTGAGTGCAGGATCAGCAATGAATCTGACATCTGGAAATACTTACTCTATCCTACCTCCCAAATGGTTGGCACTGTGAACACCTTTGTTTAGCTAAATGTCTGAGTGGATTGTTTATTTGAGTTGATGAGAAGGGTGTTGATTTTCCTGCTTATTTAGCTCTGTGGATAGATGCCAAATTGGAAACTCTCCTCACTTCTGTTCAGAGCCTGTTTGAGAATGTTAGGTATTCATTTACAATTCACTTAATTCTATTGCTCTGTGGTAAGCTTTTGTAAGGTCAGGAATAAGGATTAGAAATCAATGCATAATATGCTTTCTATGCTAATTATTAAAAAAGAACAATTTTATATATATTTATGTCCATTAAATTCCATTGCTGCAGACATTAGGATTCAAAACTGTCAATATACATAGATGTAGAAATCATACTTAAATTTTACAATTGTGTAATAGAAAAGAATTCCTCATAAAATTTCAAAATATCTATTATAAATGTTTAAAATACGAGTAAGTTCCATTATAGAATCATAAGAGTCATACAGCATGGAAACAGACCCTTCGGTCCAAATCATCCATGCCGATCAAGTTTCCCAAGCTAAACGAGTCCCTCTTGCCTGCACTTGGCCAATATGCCTCTAACATTTCCTATTCATGTACCTATCCAAATGTTAGTGTAAATGGTACGTGGATAAAACCATAACTGAATTGTCAAGTCCCACTGTGCTGAAGATCTGCTATGCTGCAGATTTCAAAGTATTGGATAAGTCAAAACTGGATGTAGGGGATGGTCCCTCAGATTGAAACAATGGGTCTTGGGGCTCATTGCTTCCGCCAAACCCTACAACACAGCAGCGACTGTTCAGAAAGGCTCTATACAAAAGGATAAAAGCAACATACAACAAGATTCTGGAAATCTGAAACAAACACAGAGAATGGTGGAGAAACTCAGCAGGTCTGGCAGCATCTGTGGAGAGGCAAACAGTTAATGCTTTGAGTCTAGTATGGTTCCTCTTCAAAACTCCTGGAGTCCTTGGAAAACTCTTCTGCATTCTCTCCAGTGCATTCATATACTTACTAAGCGTGTAGCCATTTCCATTAAGAACTGTACTGATATTGCTCATGCTCACTTCACATTCTTTAAAACGAAAGCAATTGGGGAAACTAATAGAATATTATCATGTATTGTGAGGAGTATTGAGTACAAAATAGGTTAGTACAAAAAATTGAGTACGAAATAGATAGGTTTTTCTTAAGTTATGCAGGGAACAGATGAGATCACATCTGAAGTACAGTACTGGTTCTCCTTATTTAAGGAAGAATGTAAATATATTGGAAGCAGTTCAGAGAAAGTTTGCAAGACATGTACTTGGAATGGGTGAGTTGACTTATGATGAAAGGTTGAACAGGCTGGGCTTATATCTAGTGGAGTTTGTTGGAGGTTTCTTAGAGAGTAAAAGCAAACTTGATTGAACAAGATCCTGAGGGGTCTTGGCAGGGTGTTTGCGAAAAGGAAGATTCTTTTTGTGCGAAAATCCAGGGCTAAGGGATCACTATTTCAAAATAAGCGTTCACCCATTTAGGACAGACATTAGCGGAATTTTTTCTCATAGAGTGTTGTATGTCTTTGGGACTCTCAAAGGTGATGGTAATAGAGTCTTCGAATATTGCTAAAGCAGAGGTAAATAAATTCCTGATAAGCATCATGGACCAGACTAAATCCCCTCAAAATATATTCAGAAGGTAGTCTTGACCCTAACTTTTTCTTGTTTTAAAGGCAAGTGCCAGGCGTTGTGTTCCAGATGCAATTTGATTGGTCGAACTACCAGATTTGAAGCAAAACCCACTTTATTTGTGCACTATAGTTAAAATACAACAAACGAAAGAAGAAATTGGAATAACGTAACTGTGTTGGAAAACTTAACAAATAACAGATTAATTAACTACTAAACAGTAACTGTTCCAATATATTAACATTCCCATAAGCTCTCCCTGAACAAAGACAAATTCAGTAAAATAGATTGTATCACAGGAAATTCCCTGGTCCAGGAGGAAAACATCAAGAGAAAACTCCAAGAGACAGAATAGCAGGGAGAGACATACTGCAGCGTCCAAACCCAGCTTCAAGACCCAGCAACAACTGCTTCTGAAAATTAAAAACCCTATTTCTGTGGGAGCTTGATCCCACCCATTCAGGTTATTTCTATTGTTCCAAATTTTTTAAAAAAACAAGGCTGTTTAGTCTAGTGGCACTGAGTAGACTGCTTGGTACCTCTACCTTAAAAACTCTCTTCAAAGAAAAGGATAAAATATACATCTTAAAGCCATAGTATCATTTCATAAGCAAAGGGGTGAAAGGCTACTAGCAGAAAGTGGGAACGTGAAGTTATCAGATCAGTCATAATTTCATAGAATAGCAGACTAGGTTTAAGCTAAATCCCCAAGGTAGGCAATGGGCCTAGTGCTGGAAAATGAGACTGGTATAGATTTAGTATAGCTTTGATGCTAGACAGTTGATGGCCTGAAGGGCCTCTTCTGTACTGTATAATTTTTCGGTTCTAGATGTCACATCTAAACATTTGCACCATTCAAATCCTTCTTAACCGAAGCATTTCCAAACCTTTAATTTTGAAAATTGTCAACTGTTTTATTATTGATATTGAAAAGCAGGTTGTTGGTGATTATATACTGAGCCATGGCAAAGTGTCATGATTTTTATTGTGCGAAGGGCAAGGCTGGTCCTGAATCCTCTTCAGCAGAACAGGAAATGTACTAGTACTGTTAGCACTGATCTGATCCACGTACTAGTCAACTAGACAACCCAGTTAATTAACATTCTGAGTAAAGACACGCAGGAAGATAATCATTGTTGGAAACGATTGTAAGATTAATTTTTAACCAAGGATCATGAAAAAGGTGACTGAATGAGTTTAGTAGTATTCAGTCTTGGGAAGTGAGCATTACTTGCTAGGCCCACAATGTTGCCCAATCCTAATTGCCCTAAAGAAAGTGCTGGTGAGCAGAGATAGTAGGACTGGTGTGGCCAATGTGGTGTAGGGACTCCAACAGCACTGTGCTAGGAATTCTAGGACTTTGACTGACTGACACCGAGGGACATGGATAAGTTTTCCAGTCAGAATGGTTTGGAGTGTCTTGGAGTGGAATTTGCAGATGGTGTGATTCCCATGTATCTGCTGTCCTTCTAGATGGTATGGTCATGGGTTTGGAAAGTGCTTTTGAAGGAGGCTTTGTGATGGATGTAATGAATTACATCAGCAAATGATTATAAGGCCAGAAATCAAAACAGTAGATTATCTTGGATATTGGCTTGAAGGCTATTATAATATGAGGAGGAGTGAATGACTCCATTCAAATTGTTGTTATCTCTCAGGACCATGGGCAAGTCTTGCTGAATGTACATGCTTGCATCATGAAGTCAGTGGAAGAACTCCCAGCCCAGCTCAGCAGCCTCCAAATGCTCACCCTCCTCAATATTCACACCCGCCATCCCCTCCACCGACCCCTGCCCCGATACCTACCCTCAGATAGTGCTAACCTCTTCTAGAACTGAGAAGGTGGTTTTGATTTGCTGGGGGCAGAGGTGAGGGGCTGGACAATCTTTGGGGAATGGGACTGAGTTTTATTTGGGAGGTTTGAAGTAGGGAAAGGGCTTAGCATTGTTGGGAGATGGGTGACAGTCTATGTTGCACTGTTGGGAGATGGGT